TCCTGCTGATAAGCACACAAGTTTCGGGCAAGACTTTAAAACTCTTTCAAAACAGATGTGAGCACCTTGCTTGTTCCCACCCCTTCTGCGGGACTCTGCAGTCGGAGATGTGTGGGTTAAGGCTATGTTAGTGAAGATTTTACACTGAAATGCGGAGGGTGGTTAAGATGCTATGTGGTTTCCAAGGTGGATGAGAAATTCAGAACTACCCTGTGCAACTACTGACAGTGTTTTGTTTGAGAATCAGCTGTTTATATTGTGACACTGTCCACATGAAAATACGCCTTTGCCCTTGAAAATGACATGCTTATGCAAAGCCTTCTTTTATGCTGCTTTCAAATATACGATGTGTAAGATACAGGTCACTATATACTTTTCACAGAAGCGTATGGTCACTTAAATACAAGCTACTGGTAATTCATTAATGGATATTGACGATGCATTCCTAGTATTTTGACTCATGTAGAGTCCGGTGGTCTATACCTTCAAGGTATATACAGCTGATCTTAGTAACATTAACATCTGCCTCACTTCTTATGAGGCAAAAAGCACATAAATGCTTCCATCTTCAACTAGATACCCCACCAAGACCAAAAAATAGGTGTAAACTAAGTGTTTTAAGTTAGCTGGCTTTATTCTGTGTTGGTAGCACAATATTAAATGCAGTGGCAGAACTGTAATATTGTGGGATTTCTAAGCCTAAAGCACACATAGGTATCACTTTAAGCTAAAAAATAATAGTATTGGTTACTGTACAAGTAACAGTCTTTGCATTCAAAACAGCTTTGTTTACTGTCTGTAATGTGATGTTTGTCTCTGGCCCTGTTCCTCCGATACCTTTTACCCTGTTGACTGTTTTAGTGTCGTAGAAATTAAAGGATTTGACAAGCTGTTTTCCTTGTCTGGTTCCAAAGTACCACCTCGAGTAGCAGAGCGGCGCAGCTGCGCGCTGCCGTCGAGTCTGGGCAGGCAGGAGCTCATGCAGCCGCGTGCCTCACGGGACGAACACGCGAGCGGGTGCTGTGGTGCGACGCTGTCACCAGGAGTGACGAGCGCGAAGGGGGCCGCAGCCCTTGTCCATCCCACTGGGTCCCTCCTGCTTGCCCCTGTGTCCGCAGCAGCTGATGCTGCCTTAGGTGCTGACACGTGCCCACCGCTGTGTGGTAAGGACGAGATGGCCCTTTTCTTAAAGAATTCAGAATCTACATCAGGAAGGAATAAGGCAGAAACGAAGAGCGCTTGGCTGCTTCATGCACGTGACTCCTTGAATTTTGCAAGAATGTTCTAGGCTGTTTTCCTTTCTCTTTTCCTTTTCTTCCAGAAGTGGGAGGGGCGCAGGTGGTGTACGTACAGCAGCTGGGCCGTATGCTTAGTGGACTGGCATCTAAATATTTAAATACCAAATACAGGAAGACAGCTAAAGCCTGTTGTTTTACATATACTCTGATTTTTAAAATAGCAATCTTTTTTAATCTAGGTAAAGTCATTTAAGCACAGACAGTACACTAAGGCCATGTTAATAACCTCTTTAAAAAAGAAACGTGCTTAGTTTTGTTTAAAAAAAGTGTTGATGTGAACTATGAACCTTTAAGGAAATAAGATCCCCCACCCTCTAGTGTTGGTATTTTTGTTGTTATTTTAGAGCTGACTTGAGACAGTATTGCGTACACTAACTTCCCTCCCCGACCTGGGTATTGCAGGAGCTGAAATTTGAGCTCCTGAATATTGAATTTACTATTGGTAAACTGGCAAGTTACTTCAGTTGCGTTAACAGCATTTGGACATTACAAAAATGCTCCTTTTGACTTCGTCCCCTTCGGGGAGAGCAATCTAAGCCATCAGCCAGACGGTGATAATCTCTGCCACCTCTTTCTGCCCTGCCTGGTGCCCTGACCGCAGGCCCGCAGGCTCAGACACAGAAGTTGTGATGCTCCTTTTCCGCTCAGGGTGTGAGATCAGCCGGTGGTCTGTCCATCTGCCGCATGCGGTTGTAGTTGCTGAGTTGTGTTACTCTGATGGGAGTGCAGACTCTCAGGGGTTCTGGGCGACAGCTGTGCGTGTTCTTCAGCTGTAGCCTTTCACTTTCAGCTCTGTTTTCTTGGGACTAAGTTGTCACTCTGGATTTTCTGGTGGTATGTCTCTGGGCGGGGTCCATTCTGTGTTTGAATGGCTTCTTGCTGTCTCAAGAACCCAGAACCGTGTCCCCCCCGACCACATCCAGAGAGGATCTCATGCAAGTTTCATTTTAACAATTAAAACCTGGCAATGTCGGTCAGAATCTTAGGAAGAATGCATCTTGTGGGGAATTAACACCACTTCCAGAGTCCCTGCTGTGCCCGGTGCGGGAGGGGAAATGGCATGGAGCTCACCTCTGCAGACAGTCTGTTTTCCATTCTTTCTCTAGTTGATCTTTTAATATTCCATCTTACTATAAGTTCTTGAATTTCAGAGGCTGATGAAACTCTTTTCTAAATCTGGTCTTAATTCTTGAAGACATCTAAGGTCTTGGCTTGCTTTCCTTTTTTTATGTTTTTGAGTCATTCGCTATCTTATTCAGTGGCATTAATGTTAAGAGTTACTCTTCTTGATGTAGACAAAACGTGAAATAACAGGACAAGAAGGATCTACATAGATCTGATGTAGGGTCTGTACGGGAACTTAAATGGGAAGGTTTTTTTTTAAATGTTTCACAACTGAAGCACCTAATGAAACACATGTATCATTAGTATATGAAAGTTTATTGTATGTTCTTGATATGCCCCTAATTCAGTAACACTGAAAAGAACTTTAACTTCTTAAAGGCTGCTTTGTGATTCACCGTGCAACAGCATCCTTGGCTTTAAATTTATAGAAGCCTGGGAGCTTTTGAAGATGGCTCTGTCTTGGCAACAGGAAACCTGAGGATGGTTGCTAGTTCTGTATTAATTACCATATTTTTCTAAGTAACTTTTTCAGTTTCATTTATTGCTCAAAGAGGTTTTTCTACATACATAGCATTAAGTGTTTTAACAAATACAGAAGGTAACTCCAAACTCTCAAAGGATAGTGTCAGAAATATCCTGTAAATGTTGATAATCCTGACAGATTCCAAGCTACTTAAAAGCTGTATCTGTATGAAGGCCGCACATTAACAATTGGCATTTCCTAATTTCTGTGTGTAAGGCCATAGGTATCTGACTGTTGATTTGTACCTACCTGAGCACTTTGGGATATTGCTTCTAAATACTTGGTGTATATTAACCTCAAGTGTTGCTGTTGCTTCCTCTCCCCATTACATTAAGTTTTACTGTTGGCACCACTGCATGAAGCTCTGTTCATGAACGGTGCTTTATTCTGCATTTCTCATACATTCAGTGCTTCCATAGACACCAGCTATTGAGTATCTGGGCATTTGTTTTGCTTTTAATATGTTTCTTTTCCCACAGAGTCTATATGGAGACATTCCCTAATTAGAAATGTTCTTCTGATCTGACGCTAGTATTTATTCATTCATTTGTAGTTGACCCTTTTTTTTTACCACTAGATTCCATTAAAACAATCCTGTCATTAGAGCATGTCCTCTAAGAAGTGACCAAGAGCTCATGTAAATTTGAATCAGGAGTGAGATGATGATGGTTTAGTCATTGCATGTGTGCATGCTTTTCACTTCCAATAGCATGAGGCGACCGGCTCACTTCTCAGAGCAGCGTGCTCATACAGCCCGTGGCGATGGCTGTTACTCCAGAGTAGCCGACATGCTGTGGGGCCGCTCTTCAGTCATCTTCCTTGTAGCTTGTGGAGTAGGACGGTGGCCCTCGATGTGCCGTGCTGCCTTACTCGATGGGAGACTGAGACGCATCGTTCCAGTGTGTCGGCAGTGTGTAACTCTTTCATGAGTTGATCAGAGTCAACCTGTGCATGGTGCCAAGGTAAGACTCTTCATGTGTTTTCTGCACCTTTGTTTCATGTGTACAAGTGTGTTTTGGACCCTCCCTCTCCACGTAAAATGGTCGTTCAGAAAAGCAGCGCGACAGCGGTGCCTGTATTGTGAGTATGATGGGTCTGTTCAAATGCTTAAGGAGAAAATTAACTAGTGCATGGCTTCTGTCTTCCCCCAACCACAAGTTTTCCCAGTCTGGGCAACATACTTAAATTCACAAAATCAGTGGAGGTAACTTTTTCTTCTACTTTTCATTTTTTAAAGGTAGGTTTCAAAGTATTTTTGTCTTATTTGGCCTGATTCCTGTTGTTTTAATACAAATGGGTAGAAAATGAAGATACATTTGGGTCATGGATTTGAAATCTTAGAAGTGTACAAAACACATCCACAAAAACCAGACTAGAAGCTGGACTTCCTTTACTGTCTTGTGGGGTTTGGAATCCCACCCTGCGTTACCTAAATAGAAAACGCGTATTGCTTTTGTCTTCATGAAGCTTTTTAGAGAATTTCAGAGATTAAAATTCCTGCTGAGGAGACCGAGAATATTCTGAGTGCTGCTGGCCATCTTGTCACCTAAGTGCACGTGAAGCTGATCCCGTGTGACATGACCATTGAAATACAGTTCTGAGCTAGTGTTTCTGTGGATGCTGCTACTGCTGGCACCATAACGATGGCCGCAGGTATCTTCTGTTGTGACTTTTCAGGCTTTTCACTGCAGTGTTCCTGGTTAAGATTTCAGTTTATGCACAATCTTAGCTGTGTGTGAGGCTGAGAGATGCTGAATGGAATTGGCGGTCCCCTCTTGGTCCCATTTGTGCTTCAGGCTTTGTGAACTCTGCAGTCTTGAGCAACTGATGTTTCGTTCACATGGATGTATCTCAGATCAAGGTAAAATATAAGCTGAAAAACTGCTTTTAATCGGAACAACTATCTGTGTACATACATTCTCCACACCAAACCTTTCCTGGTTTATTGTAGGTCATCCAGAAATACCTTTTATAATGTACCGAGTGGTGGATGCTTGCTGTGTTACAAAACTAAATGCAAATACTTGCCACCTCAGCCAGATTGACTTTTTTTTGTGAAAAGCAGTGGTAATGTGTTTTTTCCTCTGTTTGAAATGTTACACTGAATGTTTTGTAGGAAGATTTTTTTACAGTGTTTTCAATAAAGTGTGATTCATAGTGGAGTTTTGCTTTTTTACATTTTTTTTCTTTCATTGCTTAAAGTAGAATGTCACAGAGATTTTTATTTTAAATCATGCTGTCAGTACCTGGTGTGAATAGTTGCATTCCCCTATCTTCGTCCTTCCTCCCTCCAATTTAACATGCTTTTGAGATTCCCAAGTGGTCAGGTTTTTAAAATACGTGAGGCATGGTATGTGATGGAGATTCCTGTACCTGCTGTGGTGTTGCAGCCCTGTGTTTGACAGGTGCACAGTTAATTTCATTCCTCTACTTGAGGGAAGTGGGGTTTGTTTATAGACGAGTATGCTGATTATGTAACGTAGAATGTTTCGGTAGCTTAACGTATGTTTCGGTAGCTTAACAGTTTGACTGAAGGGCAATTTTTATATATTAAAAACATGACCACCATTTTTCCTAAACTAGTTGAAATTTAAACAGCTTCAGACTTTCCTTTTCCATTTCATGGGAGATTTTTTAGGCTGTTTTTCAAGTTCAAGAATCACATGGCTGGAAAAGACCCTGAGAGGCCGGATCTGTTCAGCTGCAGGGGATCAGACATACCGAGGCTATTCCTGGCATTTAACCAGCTCGGCAGGGACTCTGCTGTGTCGTTTCTGTGCTGTCCCTAGGCAGTCACCTTCCAGGGTTTAATTCTCTGAGGTTTTCTAAGTGTCGGAGGTGAACAGCTCCTGCTGCCCTTTAAGCTTTCATTTGGTTCTTGAGCATCCGCAGCGAGACAAGTCTGTCTGCTTGTGCCAGCGGTTTCCACCCAACGGTTACATTTCCCGTTACCTTCCGAGTAAGAAGTGACCCCCAGCTCCCTCAGCTGCTCTACGCCAGCCTCTCATCATCCTTGTTGCTGCCTGTGGGGAGCCTTGTGTGTTTCTAGAAATGCAGAGCTTGGATCTGGACACAGAAACCTCCAAGCTTGAGCCCTTACGCTGCATCGTGTCTTCAGTATGTTCTTGATTGGGGGTTTTTTTGTGGTCTTTTTTTTGGAACACCATTCATTTGTACTGAACTTGTGTTCTCAAATGTATTTCTGGATGTGTTTCTACAGAAAGACTCTATATTGCTACATATATAAGCTGTGAGCCATCTCATATATGGGGTTATTCCTACATAAGTGTATATATTGCACTTTATTTTTTTTGTGATACTGTGTTTACTGCTACATCTGCAGGACTGTATCCTGTTACAGAAATGAACTGAATGGGCTTGGTATCATTTTTCTTCTTGGCAAATCCCATGTCAAATACTAGTTCTTTTCAAGTAGTTTGTACCAGTGTTATTCTGGGAAATGAGGTGAAACTGTCGTCTGCATTTCCACAGGATTTCTTCCCTCCTCCCTGGTTTCAAGACAGGTTTTTCAGTTCCTGGTCCTTTGGAGTGTCATGTGTTCTCCTCAAGTTCTTGGAGACAACCATCTCTGAAAGCCCTGTAGACAGCTTTCTGGCTGCCAGAAAGCAGAGTCCTTCAGCATCTGATCTACAAACCCCTTTTTATCTAATGAATCTCTAGTACAGCCTTTCCCACTTCCAGCTCAGGACTTCAAGCCCATACCCCTGGTATTGTGCTAACCATGTCACTTGATGCATGACACAACCTGATCTTGTATTATTTGGAAGCTCTCTAGCATTTGTGTAGTTGATCAATTGTTGCCTTTTTATGCAAAATTAATTTTCTTTTTACCTTGGTATGTTGCTACTTCATTTTGGTTTAGCTTCTGACTTTTGTCTTTATGTGCTCATACTTTTCTTAGAAATTATCTGTGGTGACCTGACTTAATTTCAGCAATGCACAGCTGAAAAGTCATAATCGTCTTTTTATTTCTTTTGAATGTGGTCCGTACTTGCTGCAGTTCCATGGTTCTCTGAAGTTCTGAAATGATCATGCATCTTTGAGGGCCACTTTTATCTACCTACAGCTATCTGGAATGGGTCAGTTTCGTTCAAGCAGAAGTGGCAGCCAGGGTTCTAGTTAGCAAACGTGGCTGAAGGAAAACTGAAGGGGAAAAAAACAAAAGTGTTTCTTGCTACAACCATCAGTTGCAGTACTGGGAGCAGCAAATTGGGTGTAAAAAACCAGGTGAGGGATAATATTGGGGCATTGCTGAATGAACACCATGCCTGAAACAACTGTGGCTCATCTTTGGGAAAGGGAAATGAAAGTGGAGGAAGGTGGGAGTGACAGAGAGAGGAAGAATAAAAATACTGCAAGACCAAAGGTGAAGCTGAATATAAAAGGAAAGCAACAGCACCCTTCTGACTTTTATTTCTCCAAATACAAGGCAAGTACCATTTTCCATACAAAACCATTTGTTCTTGGAAAATCTGGATGAGAAAACACTCCCCAGTTTGCAGTAAATGCCTTGTCAGCTATGTTCTACGGGGTAGTTCATGATGAGCTATGTTATCAGCATTTGAGGATTTTCTTTTGATAATATGAGCGACATAAAGGACAAATACGTCGCTCTCCCAGGGAAAACTCTTCGAATGCTTGAAGACAGGTATGATGAAACAAATGTGAACAAGACAGCAGAACAGTCTGTCGTGAAAACTGATTGCAGTTACCAGACAAGAGGCAGTCAGGATGAACTGCAGGACTGAGTGGCATGATACAGATAGGACAGTTGGGTATCTCTTGCTGCAATGCCTAAGTAAAAACAGACACACACCTGCAGTGAAACAGTGGAAGGTAACTATATCAGCAATATGCTAGTTTAAATGTTCAAATTTTATGACTGTAATGTATTTTGAGAAACTATTAATGTTTTGATTTGCAGTTTTTTCTACAGCCTCTTTGGGCTCCTTAACTGAGTAGGAGAGAGATGCTGCTAAGGTAAACCCCTGAACTGTAAAAATGTTTAATATTTCTGATTTGGAATATTTAAGAGAATTAAAGAAAACTGAAAACAGCCACTTGTGCTGAAAAGACTGATATGCCTCAAGAGGATAGAACAGCTTATAAATGCAAAACTACTTTAAAAAAAAACACCAACCAACCAACCTGCATCTGGATCTTCTCCCAGTCAGTTTCACTTATTAATATTTCTTTTCCTTCCAACTGCTGAAGTATTTCTCGACTTGCAGCTATAGCAGAATCTATTTCAGAAAAAAATTCATCCAGGTTGATGTTGTAAGAACTCAACAGTCGATTGCTGATCTGTTGAACCTGAAAAGAAAATTGACTGCTGTTGGATTTCAAGTTACTTATAGGTAGCTCGTATATGGATGAATTGTGAGTGATTGGACAACTGGGCCTGATTCATTGCATCATCTATGGACTCTTGTTCCAGCTTAAATCAACACTAGACAGCAGCTGCAGAGGTTAAAAACATCAGGTCCCCAGACTCCACCAATGCACCATTATCCTTCAGAGAAAACACAGGATTTTCATCACTGAACTTTCCCAAGATAGATGTACTCTTCTTAACCCATGTGGGTGCAGCACAGAGGGCACAGCTGCGTTTGAGAAAGGCAGTACAGAACTTGGCTGAGCACTGGTTCTTTGACAGGAAACTAGTGCACCTGCTGTGGGGTTGGTTGAAGACATGATAGCCAAGGGCAGAAGAGGCACCCTAGGTGTTGTCCTTTGTATAGATGTTTATGACCTACTGCCTTAGATCTGTGTCTGCATATTGCACATTGGCCTGAGCACTCTGGTCATCACAGCTGAAGATGCTCCCGTCAGTGCGCAGCAAAATGAATACCTAAAAGCAATGAATGCTTTTCTTAAAACTTAGTCATCCCCTTGAGCACAATCCCAACTCACTGTGGCCCCTTTCCCTCATTGCTACCACACTATCTGAGAGCTCTGTAGGGAAGTCACACAAGTCTTAGACTTATCTGTCATGACAAGAAAGTTTTAAGGAATATTTCAACGCCTCTCCTGTGACCACGCAGTGTGAGCCTTCCTCTCCATGAGTGTCCTGTGAGGGAAAACTTGATAGGGAAACAGGGAGCCATCTCTTCAGGGAGGATGGGAAGGGGGAGGTGAGGTGGTAGAAGGATTGTTGTCAGCCAGCCTGATAGCACCTGAACACTTTCCTATTGTTTTATTTCACTTTTCTTTGGGTAGCTTTTCTCTACCATGACATGCGTTCCCTTACAATTGCTACAGTGACCCTTTGTAGTATAGATCAGAATATTCAAAGTGAACTTTTCTAGACCCAAAGGAATCAAGAGCCTAAGTTGTACAAAAACCATCTGAAAAGCTCACTTAACATTCTAAGATTTCATTTAAACTTTGAATTTCCTGAATTTCCAAAATTTCCTTCTAAAGCTATGAAAAAACTAATCAATAAAGCTATGAAAAAACTAATCAATTTTTTTTAAAAGTGCACATAATGTGCAAGTATGAAAGTGTCTTCTAGTGAAACCCATGTTTCTCAATAAAGACTAAAGAGACAAACATTAAGTGTCCAGGTAAGGGAACTGGTGAAAACCATCACTTAAGGCAAGTTGTTTGCTTCTTGACATTAGATTTGATCCTGTGTATTTTTTTTATTTTATGGTCTGATTCACCGCTAACTGAGACCAGTTATGACTGACTTACTGTATTCCCAAATGACCCCTAATACAACAGCATATTGAAAGGATGTATCCATTTGTCAGTACAAATTGGATTCGGTTACCTTGTTAGTTAGTGCTGATGCATCAACTTAACATAACTAACTTAAAAAAAAATCCCCTGAAACCCCTTGTATAGTGTATGTATTTAAATTACAATGTGACTGGAAAAGCAGCAGCCCTGTCTGTACTCTGTAAGGGAATTCTATGTCTAGCAAGGAACAGATGGGTACTCTTGTGCTCCCCTCATGACTGTTCACTGACAGGAAAGAAAAAAAAATCTGATTCTATCCCACACTGACCTTCAGTGGTATGTGAAAACAAAAAAACAAACAAACAAGAATCCCACTCCAGGCCTCCTTCAATATTTACACTTGGTGGTCTCCAAACAATCCCAAACGATGACACTGTGGGCTTCCTGAATGAGACATGGAATACTAATGCACTATACTTTAAATAGGTTATAGCTTTAATATTTTAAAATTATGTATTTAACTAAGTGATAAGAGTCCCACTAAGTTTTATCTGAACTGTTGTTAGCCAGGTTCTAGAACTGAATCTACTCCCAACTGCATTTTAACTGCTCTTAGTGATTTAATTTTAAAATCTGGCTTCAGGAAGAACAGGGTAAGATTACACCTAAACCTTATATAATTCATGGTTTCTGTTCAACATCAAGTAAAGTGTTTTCAAATGGATCAACCTTGTAGTCCTGATTTACGCTTGGCCTTCATTTCTGTTGATATGAAACTTGAACAGACCTGAACTGTTTTCATAAGAAAGCTAGGAGGATTTAATAGAGATGCTTTCCAATAGCCTCTCAGGACCCCAAATTTGAGGAAGAACCACCACATTTTAACTCCACCCATATCCAGAGTCTATTTCTGTGAACGTGAGAGCAACGCAGACAGTGTGGGGGCAGTTCCAGGACCTGGCCTGGCTTTCTGAGGCATATGATGACTAGACAGGCTGCTGAGGAAAACTAATGAACAGGAAGAGCTGAAAGCAGGGGGCAGAGAGGGGCTGGGGTTGCATTAAGCCACCAGTGCCCCCTTTCTGTCTCTGCCTGTGCTGCTTGTTCCCTCTTCACCTCAGCAGGGAGACGCCCTCCATTTCTTCCCTGAGTTTGCCCTTGTGTTTCTCTTCCCCATGTCACTAAGGGATCCTGGAAGTCCTCTCATGAGCCTCCTTCAGCAGAAGCTGTAAAAATAGAGAGGCAAACTCTTCTCCTGCCTGAGACAGTGATCTATGAAGTTCCCCTGCTGCTAAGATACTATCATCTGCTTTGAGCTACTCCTGTATTTTCTGCAGTATGACCTGACCCAACCCATATCCATCAATCAGCAAATAAAGTCTTAAGGTTAGGAAGAAAAAAAGTGTAACTGAGATTTAACCCAAAATTTATGCTAAATGGTAAATCAGTGCACACCATCACTGAGAACAGAAAGTAAACACACATTTTGGATCATTTGTTAGTGTTAGTGTGTTCTAGGATTTAAATATTAAATCCTGCTGTGTTGTAATGCATAATGCTGAATGTCCTTTCTTCCCCAGAACAACTGAAACTGATTAATTGAATTTTTTTCTCAAAACACCACGCCTCTGTATTTTATGTCTGTGATTTCTTAAAACTTGAATATAATGGCATAAACTGAGTATTTGAACTACTCTATCAGTATGCAAAACTACATCAGTCACCTGTACAGCAGCACAAGACTATGATAAAATAAAATGATGAAACAAAGCACTGAGGTGAACTTTGTCCACAGGGAAGCCTTTTTAAGTGATCCAATGTCAGCAAATTGCTTACTAATGTGTTGACTTATGGCAGCCCTCAAAAGGAAAATGAAAAGGCTGGAATTTACAGCATATCAATGAACCAGTTGATAAGCTTTTACTGGTTTAGTATCCTCCTAGTTTTGCTGCCTGGAGCCACTTCAAGTTAGCAACAGAATGTTTACCATCTCCATGTGATAAAGGAAGCCAAATGACTAAACAAACTCCAGGACCATTATACTGTTTGGTGAGATTTAAATTAAAATCTTTGGGAGAAATCATGTGGAGGGAGAAGGAAAAGCCTAAAGTCAACTACATCATTTCACAATGACTTACCTCGCTTCCTGAACAATGGCAAGGTTTTTAGCAAAGCTGGAGATAATGTATTTGAAAAGATTTAATTGCACCAGCAAAAGACTATACCACAATTAAATGTCATACAGAAGTGACACTTATAGGTAGGATCAAATAAATTCACTACCTCACATACTGAAGCAACACCCTGCTTTCTGTGTATAGTAGTGCTGAAACGCAGCCTACTTTGGTTTCAGTGACCGTATCTCCTTTGATCTAGATTAAAAATTTTAATGATAGGTGTAATAAGGGCTACTGTAGCACCCTGAAACAAGTAATATGTGTCCTTCGTAGTACCAGTATTTCAGACCTTGTTTTTAATTTTGTGATACCCATTTAAGAGTATGAAACTTGACGTTTAACCTTTGTGATTGTTCCAGAGGAGGCAGGGTTATTAAAACCTTGTTGTTTCCCCCCCCCCAAATTGTGATGCCATTTAATTATGCTAATGTTTAGGGAGTGACATTTTAAAAGCACAGCACAAGTTTGAGAGGCAAAATTTACTTTAGAAAAGCTTTTTAGCATCTGAAAATGGATAGCTCCTTATGACAAATTTATTTAGTGTTTTCATTAACCAACACTTAAAAGTATAAGACTGAACAGCAGGAAAATTCATCTACAACTCCTGCTTGAAAGCTGCTAAGAAAAATGAGTATATATCTTTTAATCATAATTGGTACTGAATTCATTTAAACCTGGCTAATCTGTATGAGAAGACTTATAAATTTATTCTCAATAGAAGGTGAAAAAGAAGTGCCCACTTTGTTCCCTGGAAAATCCTGCAGTTTTAGATACGAGAATGATTTCCTAATGCTGTGGGCTATATATGGAAACTAAAGACCTTCCCATGGCTTATAGTCATGTGACGAAATGTGGGCAGTCTATCAGGCTGTTTCTCCCTAAACCAACTAAAATAGAGGCCCTAAAGGCTAGCCCACTGTAGGTAGCTTGGTAGACTGCTACTGTAGACATCGGAAGTTCGATGAGAGAAATTTTAACAAAAGACGCTCAGCTGCAACTTTCAGTGTATTTAGAAACCGCCTTTGACTTCCCTTTACTGTGACCCTGGACTTCATGCTCTTAGAGATCCTTTCCAACCTTAATGATTCTGTGATTCAACCTTAATGATTCTGTGCTATCTTGAGCCCACAGAAAATTGAGAACATACTGGGAAGGAGGCATATGACTGTTTCCCTAGGCTTCCACGCAGAAAAATCTAGGTGTTTCTGTTGTCTATTCTCATTGTGCTACTTGAGGACAGTCACAATCCACCGAAGGATTCACTTCTTCCAAACTGACATGTCTGAGCAATTTTAAGTGTAACATTAGCTTTCCTCAGTTACCTCCATATTCATTTTCTCTGTTACAGCAAAGGACTTTGCATTGATTACAAAGGTAGCATGGCAACCAGCAAGCTGTCTCTGTATTAAGGCTGAGAACAGTGTTTCTTCTCTCCTGCTGCTGTTGCCACTCAAGTTTTGTTGCAACAGTCTGCAGGATCACCTCTAGGGCACCAATCTCACCATCACACATAAATGTATAACATATCAAGAGAGGGTCTTTGCCTCCAAAGCTCTCCTCTAACAGGATACAACCAGGTAAGTGTGAGAAATAACAACAGGCAGTAACAAGTCTTTTTCTGCAAGCACTCTTTTAGTTAACTAAAGCAGTGATTTAAAAAAAACCAAAAAACCAAACAACTGATTTAAGTATTGGTTTAAACCTAGCACTGATTTAGCCTGGGTAAGAGTATTTTCCTAGTTGCATGCACTAGCTACATTCAAACGGCTGTCTTGTGTGGCTTTGTTAATCTCTGCTAGCCAGGCTGTTTGGTAGTCTGGACTGGAAGACGGCTTTTCTCACTCCCTGAGGGATAGTTTGCTGATTGCTGAGGATGTGTCAAGAGCAGTTTTTGTCACTGAAAAGCTGAGCTAGGCTGGCCATTACTAAACTGGGGGAAGACTGGAAGTTGGCAGAGAAGGACTTGAGGATTGCATGGGGACTCTGCAGCAGCTGCGTGCTGAAAGGCAAGCAGGGTCATTGCAAAATGCTGGCACCTGATCTGGCCTCATTTGTATGGGGTCAGGACCCTAATTTATTACAGTCTGACTTGCATCTGAGCAGAAGTTAGAGAATGGCAAAGCTATGGAATAGAACTATCCAGTTCAGTGTCGAGTGAGGGAACAACGGCAGTGAAAAGAAGTTATGATTGTTTATGGACTTATTTGCTTTTCCCCTTACTATAGCCCCTTCATATAATTCTATAGGAAAACAGATTACTGTGGTTTATCAAAAAGGGAAATACAGATCCTCACAAAGAGCCCCACTATTGTTGGCCTAAGCAAAAGGCAGGCCTTAAAGTTAAGTATTTAAATTATTTTCCTTACTTCTACATTGTAAAGAGGATGGAATGAACAGACTAACAAAACAACTGAGTTGCCTCCAGTACAGCCTGTTATGGAAGGAATAAATTAAGAGGTAGATAGCTGATATTCAGGAGTTTTGATTTACAGGAGCTGAATCAGAGCAAAGAAACAGACCCAAGAAACAAAGGCAACCTACCTTTTTCTCAAAGAATTGCTTTCTTAATTTGCTGTCTTTAGGAGGCACTGTTTTTCTCAAGTTTCTATACCATTTCCTAACAATATATCCCCTCCAGGAAGCTTGAATTCTGGAAGACACAATTTTGCTCAAGAAGAGGAAACTCAAAATTATGTAATTTTCCTATTTACATGAAACAATCATTTTATGCATTTAAAAAAAAAACCTTGACTTTTGTAGTGCATTTAGTCTAGTTTCTTATAATATTAAGTTTTAACATATTTTAAACATTATTTAGAAATTAATATTGTCCAGTGACGAACACCTGTAGCAGAAGTAAGGCTTACCTAATAGCGCACTTTATTTTAAAGAAGTGTGCCCCGTCGTGTATTACTCTGGTCTGATACTGCTCTTTTCTACACATAGGACAAGATTTCTTACCTGTAAATTTTTCAAAGGCTTTCAGGCATGCCTGAAAAAATAACTGCAATTACTTACAATGTATTTCATATCATTGGAACAGATGAAACAGGATAGATTACAGAATGTAAACCCAGTTTATTCACCAGTCCATGAACACTATACAAGGTGCATATTTCTATAATTAAAATGTTAAGAAACTTTTGTAAATCTCCATATATTTGCATGAAATTTCATGAATTAAACTATTCCCACTTATTATACGAAACTATAGCTCAGTTACAAACTATGTTTTCCCATATGGTTTTAAGAAAGGGAATAAAATTGGAATAAAATGCCTCATCATAAAATAGCCTTAAATTATATTTCTTACCATAAAAATCTCGAATCAAAATTACTTTTCAAGATGATTACATTTAATTCATTAAAATATTCACTTAAGTACTTTAATTAAAATACTCTTGTATTATGTGCTTGAATAGTTATATAAAAATGTACTCACTTTATGGAATACATGGGAACATGAAAGCAGCACCTGTTTTTCAAAGGAAAGAAAACAACAAAAACAACCTGACTTTAAACCATTCTAAAAGCTGAAAAATGAAAAAATGCTGACAAGAAAAATTCTGACTGCCTGAAAGGTCATCAATTTCTTTCTGTTACTACTGCAGTCTTTCCAGTGAAAATAAAATTAGTCTTCTACAGAAATTACTTAATATATTACATGTTAAACCAATATGTGAGTTTTGTATTAAAACCACATGGAGTGGCAGAAAGCAAGAAATGCCAACTGCTGTTGACTGGAGGAAAAGATTACAAACCAAGTACTTAAAATGAAAGCTGATTAATTTTTTTCCCTTTTCCCCACAGAGATGTTAAATTTCAAGAAGTAATATACATCAAATGCAGCATTTCACATATACAAAAAAAAACCAAAAGAGAAAGCATGTTCACAGGCTACAAGAAAACTTCACCTTTCTCTGACCTAAATTCCCACCAAATGCTGATGATCTCCATCCTGACAAAAGATATAGAGTTGGACAAAAAAGGCAGTTGGCTCTTAGAGGAAGGAAAAACTGGGAAAGGAGTGAAAACCAGTACAAGTAGTGAGCACTATTGAGCTGGCTAACACAAAAGGATTAATGGCTAGCAGCCAGCTGAAGGGAAAGCTTTCAGATACAGTGGCTTTTTTCCCTTGAGGGAGGAGAGCTAACGAAACATTGAGGACAAAAAGAATTCCAGAGGCATTTCCCTTTTTGTGCCAAATCTAAAGTAACCTTTTTAATGAGTGCTGTCTTTTGCTCTCTCTTGTCAAGCTTTAGACTTTCAGAGTAGCCAGAAATTGGCGGAATGGTCTTTTGCCAGATCCATCCCACCTGTCTGTGGACAATTGGACACCTTCAGTTAACGTTGCTATAAAAGGAAGCAAAAGCCCTGTATCCAAGGTATTGAAAGACCTTGATTCACATCACAAACTTGGCTGTAAAAAATCTTAAAGAAAAATTAAAAGGAACAGGCAGAAAAAAACACCCTAAAATGCAATGTGGAAAGAAACTTGCAAGCAGTTGGGATAATTCTTCTAATTACCATCATCACCTCTCTGAAGCAGCCCTCCTCGTCAATCAGTCACTCCATCTCTTTTGCTTAACATTTTCAAGATGATAGATGAGATAATCTAATAAAGCATGATGTATTTATGCTTATGCTACACACATGCACTGAATACAGCTATCCAGGTAAAATGCAAGCATTTCTTCTGAAAACCTAAGCAAGTGACTGACTGGTATTAAGAGCACACCTTATTTCTATTTGGAAAATGGAAGTAAGTATTGAACTAAAGTGCAAAATAACAAAACTTGTGAGAAAATAAAATACATCTTAAATTTTATAATTAGTATTTACCATTTTGATGAATGAAGGCTAGGATCATATATAACAGGAGTTTAAATGAAGCAAAAAGTAGCCTATACCTGCTTTGCAAGGACAGATAAAAAGGCTGATTACCTTCTCCTCTATTGTCATAACTTCAGAAGTGAATAAACAGGACCAACCTTTCTCTGCCATGTCATGCCCAAAATACTTTCAGAGCTGATAGCTGGGTCCAGCTATGAAATGCTGAACGGTGTCTTAAAAGTAGGTTCTTTCACTTCTTTCCTTTCTTCTTCCAGCTAATGATTTTTAGCAATAACTCTGGAAATTTTTTTTTTAAATACAATTATGTAGTCCACACAATTATACAGTTATACATGTACCTGAGGTTGAAGTGCAAATTCTTCCCTGCATATTGCACAAGGCTGTATAGAGTCTCCGTGCTGTATGGATCTCTGCTTTACTTTTACCCATTCTTCAGCAGTTAGTGGCAAAGAAGGAGGCTCAACCAGGCCTAATTTCTGAGCTGTAGACAATAACAACAACAAATCACTGAAAAAAACCCCACTGGTAGATGGTTTTTCTTCAGGTGAAGATGATGCACTTATTTAAAAATACTTTATACAGATGCTTCATATAAATCTATCATCAGACAAACCACTGGCAGGCAACATACTTCTATTAGTTAGCTATTTGGTAATTGTCAGAACCTCTTTTACGTACAGGATTTATACAGGAAATTTTTAAATGTCAATTTTTATTTGCCAAGTAATTTGAATTTATTTCGATACCTTTCCACAGCCATTACAATGGGGAATAGTAACTAGACAACGTTAACAGTGCACAATAACGTAATTTTGTTTGTAGAACCAAAATCTCTGTTGGAATTCATTTGTGAAGGTTTCTTCAACATTACATTTTTGTATTCTCAAAAATAAAAATGAACAAAGTGGTATTACAAAAAAACTGTTGCTGGTGCAAAATGCTGAAGTGTAATGAGATTGTGATGGATGCAACAGAAATAAAGAGCATAAAGAAACAAAAAGATGGTTATAAGACACCAGTGATAGCATCGCTGTGATAGCTGACCTTGTCAACCTCAGATGATAACTGTGAGGGGCCTCGCCGCATGTCCATGTGAAACCTCTGCCTTCTCAAAGAAGCAATCAGTGAAAATACAGTATTCTGCCCCGCCCCCAAAAATGGCAGATTAAGGTCAGTGTCACTGTATCAGTAGTAACAAAAAATGCTAGTGTAGGTACAGCAAAGAAGAGATCTTTGACATCTTTGAAGACCAGAGGAAGCAGCTTGTGTGGACTGACCAAGGTCAGTGGATGAACGTCCAAGGTATGCGTAATGAGGCAATAACGTGAGTCCACGATGAGGCCTCAGTGGTATTTGCTAAAACCAGAAAGGAATAGTTAGAATGCAAGCTTAGGACACCTAGATGAGAGTTTTAGTTCTAAATGGGAAAGGTCAACTTATTCATAGCAAAATCTTTGCATAAACCAGACATTAATAAGCAGCACTTATTTGTTCTGTGTAAGCTTTCAAAACCTCATCAGACAGACTGTGTATCCAAACCCATTACACTACTTAGTCACAAAGAGAACAGGAATCCTAACAAACCGAAGAATGGGGTTTTGGTGATCCACTTGCTCAAGTATCTGATTATACTAGGATAGGGGTTATTAATTTGAGACAAAAATTCTGCTCCTGAGCTCATCCATCTACAGATGTGTATCGTTAATCATTTAAAATTTGCACAAAACTGTCTTTGATATTTTTAAAGAACTTTTGTGAGTTATTAAAGGAATTAGAAGGAATACTTTCTTCCCTTTTGTTGAACTATCTGCCTAACTTACTTCCTTGTGATCTCATGACATCCTTCAAACGTAAATCAGTTTGATTCCATATCTTAGTACAACAGCATGGCTTTGAGATTCCAAGCTGGGTCAGTTTATGCTTTTGGAACAACGTGGAAAGTGCTTTCTCTACGTATGGTTTCATTTGCATACACCCACCTCGTTACTTTCGTTACCTTTGCTAAGGTATCCAGTCAAACGTAAGCAATGCATGTAAATCTAAGCATCAAAAGAAAATTTGAATCAATGAATGCCATAGATCACATCGGCGGTCATAGATGAATCATCTTAGAGGCACGCTGTTTCACTCCTGGACAACTCGATACCCAGACACAAATATAGCACCTCCACACGTGTGGGAGCTCACAGCTCTGCCTGCAGGCTATAGGCTAGAATTCAAACTGCTCTGTGTCAAGTAGCACAGCGCATGTGTATGTATTTACGGCACTGTAATTTCAGAATGTAAACCATACACTGTATTAACATAAAATAGCATTGTCAATCAATTTTTGGTGCAGTAAAATGCTTTCACCTGCTGCTCCTGATGGTGAAAAACAATATGAGCTTTAAAAGAAATATGAAGGATCCTGCAAACTTTTCAGAGTGTAAAAAGTAGTTCAGAACATGTATTTTGCTTAAAGCTTACACATGAATTGCTGAAATTGGCAGCTGAGTGACTATGAAGTTTTCCTAGCGAGGAGTGCTTTCCCTCTTGACCATTCAACTCTTGAAGAGCATATATTGCACAGAACAGTGTTTCTGCTACAAAAGAAGAATCAAATTATAAAATACACGATAAAAGTTTCAGTAAAAACATGTATCAAGTTTCATCTGACAGTAATATCTAAGAGTATCAGTGAATGAGTAAGGAAACAAGATGCCATTTTGACAGTCCAATCTACAGAAGTGATGGTCTTTATGATGAGAAAATCTCGATGGGAGCGAACAAGATAGCAAACCAGTCACAGCATGAAAGACAGTATCACAACATGAAAAATGCCTACTTGGTTTTCTTCTAAGCACTGTGGTCAGAGACTGTTTTAAGGAAGACAATGAGATGGCTTTGTGGAAAGCCTTTTGTATACATCCAGGGTAAGAAAAAATGCTGATTTAAAACTTTCACAAATGGATGATTAAAGCTGACAAATAGGAAGATTGGTAGCAAAACTTAACTTCTAAATAATATAACCCAGATGGGGTATTTCTGAGGGACAGGTTATACAGGTGTTTAGAAAGAAAACTTTTGTACAACATAGTTGATGAAGGAAAACTGGCAGCAGGACACACAAGAAAGGCTATGTCGTTGAAGCAAAAGGCTCTATGAAGATATTCTCAAAGCAGCATTTTGAATAAATACAAGCAATAACAGCCTACATTTATCACAGCTCAAGACATCCAGGAGTTTTCATCCTTATGCATCAAGTTTATAAGCCCAACCCATTTGCTGACACACCCATTTAGAAACAAGTGAGTTAGTTATCCTACAATGAACATTAGCAAAACAATTACATACATTAACCTTTAAACTATTATGATTATTTGGTTTCATTTTAGGACTCAAGTTGCTATTGAGAAAAATTTAATGATAGAGTCCTGTGAGATTTTCACAGAATTACTAAGGTTGGAAAGAACCTTCAAGATCATCAAGTCCAACCATTAATCCAGCGCCACCATGTTCCCTAAACCATGTCCTGAAGCGCCACATCCACATGTTTTTTGAACACTTCCAGAGATGGCGACTCCACCACCTCCCTGGGCAGCCTGTTCCAATGCTTGACCACCCTCTCGGTGAAGAAATTTTTCCTAATATCCTATCTAAACCTCCCCTGGTGTAACTTGAGGCCATCTCCTCTCATCCTACCGCTGGTTACTTGGGAGAAGAGGCCAACACCCTCGTCGCCACAATCCCCTTTCAGGTAGTTGTAGAGAGCGATAAGGTTTTGTTTGATTACCCACAAACTCAAGAAAAAAAAGTTACATTAAATTACATTTTCAAAGTTTTTTCACAACTGTAAGGTTTAAACCACACAAGTCTTATTAAGAAGAGAAAGCGTGACACAAGCATTTTAAAACAATGTGAGACTATAGGAGAAAATACTAATGAGCAAAATCCAGAAACAATTGCAATTAAAAAAAAAACATCTTTCAGCACATTCTTTTGAATCACTTGCACAAGCATTCATATGGGATGTTTCAGTCAGTGCTGTGATTTAAAGAGAGAATACTTCGTCTTTCTTATAATTGCAGAGAACATGCTCACACTTGGGCTGCATTTTTTCACCACAACCTTTACCTTCCATAATCACTCATTATTTATATTTGTGTTAACCCCAGTACCTCTCTGCTGTTCCCCCCCCCCATCCTCTCTTCTTTCAAATTCCTCTTCAAAATGAACCAAGGAAAAAACCCTCCCATCTTTAGAACTATAACCATGTAAACATGGTAATAATCACCTTGTCTTACTACCTATGTCCTATCACTTGTTACACTCACTTGTGTATTCTCTTAAGTTACCCTCTTAACCTTCAGCTGATTCCAAGAGGCAGATGCCTGTGCTTGTACGGAGCCTCATTGATTTACATGGTTCTCTTTAGAGCTGGGACTGCTGTGACAGTTACTATAGCAAAGGCAACATGATCTTCAGAGGCCTAAGGGCATTTTTATGAAAAAGAATAAATAATTATTAATGATGATGAAAGTTTATTATACTTAAAACTGCAAACTGTTGAGCTGGAAGGTCCTTTAAGAAAAGCCTAATCAAGACAACCGAAAGGATGGAAACAAGATGATGTTCATGGCAAGAATACTGGAGAAAGCTTTAGAAAAGGGAAACACAAGACTTAAAACAGATAGGCAGGAAGCACATGTGGACTCCTGGTCTGATAAGATGCTCCCTGGCTTTGTTTTTTTAAGCAGTATTGTCTGTCACTGCTGTACAACTGTATTATTATAATACCATTTAAAAGTGATTTTTCTCACCAGGCATCATTCCAAGCACTCACATCTGTGACTTTTATCTTGGTGCATGTTTGCTTCTAAATTTGAAAAAGGTATTTAACTACAGGTGTTAATTCTTCCTGGGTTTAGCCCCAGGACCATTGTAAAAACAAACCTTTTTAACTTTGAGTAAGGGTGGGTATATATTAACAAAGAATATATTTAATGCAGCACTAGTAACTGCCTCTTTACTGAATAAGGAATAAACCAAACCATTTCAAATAGACTTAAAAAAAGTCTTGATATCAAAATATTCCCCCAAATAAATACAATATCTAAATCGCTGATGTTTGCTTGAGAACATAAGGTCAAGGTTATAACAATCAATATACAAAACATATTAAAAAAGTGTAAAGAGGCTTCCCATCTCTTCATGAAGAATTCTTCATCAAGATGCCCTAGCTTCTTCATTTTTACCTTCACTGTCACAAGAATAATATTTTTAATACATTTCAAGTATGAAAAGACACTTTCATGTCTGTGACACAAGTCACTGATGGCAATTCTACTGTTTAAATGACTGTTTATCTGACGGTACAAACTGCTGAATTTTACAAATTTCAAAACAAGATTTCTGCTTTTTAGCATTAAATTACCTTATTGAACAAAAAGCTTAGTTTCCTCATTTTTATTTTATTGTAAATAAAAACAGAAATTCACAAATCAGAATATAATGGTTTACCTAATGTTAGCTGTGGAGAACTGGGGTCAAGAACATACTCCTTTTCTGCATCTTCCTTGGTTTTGTGGCCAGTGGTCTTTTTTCTTAGTCCAGTATCTACTACTGCTCTGACCATTTCTTTGTTCACAGGTTTGTAAACATTCTTGATATTCCTTGTCCTTGATTTAAAAGGATCTGCTAATGAAAGATCCTGGAGCCGATGACTGTGTATTATATGATCCTGTAAAGCAACTGCAGAAACTGCTATCGTCTCTCGTTTGGAAAAGTGGCCCTAAAAAAAACCCCAAAACAACCTGTGAATAATTACTTTTCTAAATGATTTTAAAACATATATATTATAATAAATTTTAAAAAATTTCTGCTCTTAGCCAATGTTTTTGACTTGTCAAAGGCTTTTATACACATGCAACTCCCATACTTGAAGCCTAACACAAAATTAACCATAATATGAAATTTAAGATTAATGTTTCTGACACATCCTAGTTTTAGCTTATAAAAAGTCAAATGAAATCTCTGATTTATCAGTTATATTAAATAAAGTAGCAGTAATTTGAAAGTTTTAATTACTGAGCCCATGATTATTATATGCAATAAACTCATTATGGACTATAAAAGTTTGGCATGCCCAAACACATTTTTACTTCAATATAATTAAAAACAATCCCAAAGGCTAACCTTGCCTTCCAGAGCACTGAATATAAACAAGAATGTATTATTTTTATACAGGGAATGGGCTTATCTAGCTATTCCTGTTTCTCCCCACCCAGCTGCCTTATTTTAAAAGATGTGAAATCATACCTTGCAAAAATCACGATACTCCATTGAGAATCTTTAGCTGATTTTACAAGCGTCATGTGGCTCTACAAACAGACATGTACAAGAACCTGAATAATATTTCTCAGCAGAAACAGCCTCATCAATAGTAGAAGAGAAATCAACAGTCTTAGTTGCTTTCTCCTAGGCCTACCATCGGAGACAGCTTAACATGTTAATGGCTGGACTCGATGATCTTAAAGGTCTTTTCCAGTCTGAATGGTTCTGTGTTCCAGGCACAGAAGTTAACACTGGACCCATAAACCACCAACTGTACCCCCCTCCCGTCAGCCTCATCCCACTCCCAGCGGCCTGCCCATAACGTACACAGAAAAGCCTCAAAAGGAACGGCAGCAATCACCAATTCCAAGCTGAACCGAGGAAAAAAATATGGCCGTAGCAATAAACCCCATCCAACAGCCAGCTTTGTTTATTGTAGACAAGGAAGATGTTAGCAACCCCTGTGGGGCTGAAGCTGCTCCGCTGAGACCTCAACACCCTCACGGGTACAGCAGGGGAAGCGGCGGCCTAGCTCGGTAGCAGGGAGGAGGCCGGCAGAGGCGCACCCCTTAAAACCGGCTGTGGCAAACAGCA